GGGCCGTGACGGCGCGAGGGAAGAGAGCCAACAGCGCGCCTCTGCTCTCAGTTTTATTTACAGAGCTGTTAGGAGTGGTCTCGGAATGCTCGATCCTTCTATTTACAGCTATATACAGATTTATAGTTGAAAAGTAAGAAAACTGTACAAGATAACACAAAAATATAAGACAAATTGGATCCAATTAAAGTAGTGAATACATAAGAAAAATCTGACATTTAAATTTCAAATTGTAATGTTACAAGTAGTATATATGTAGTTTTTAAACCAGATAGCAACGTAAGTTACACCACACTAAAATCTTTACCCCAATTATGTAGACTCTGCTTTTAAACATCAGACAGCTGGAAGCCTCCTGCCCTTGGAAGTACGCAATGGTAATGTTTTGACTTGATTTCCACAGAGGGACCAGTTACAAAAACCTACATGTAAGGAGTTTATTTACATTAAATATTAGCAAAAATGGACCAAGAGAGTGCACGTGTCCTCACCTGCAGTGCTACCCATTTCAAATTTCCATCCCCTACCATCACAAGTCGTTGCACAGCATCTTCAAGCATAGGAAATGTTTGAAAATACCTGCAGTAACACGTACAACGTGACCTTATGTCTCACAGTTAAAAGATGTTGAAGAACTAAGTATCACTAAACCAGATGCTTTTTGGATTTCAGTATTGCACACTAAAAAAAAAGAGAGTTTCAAAAACAATTCTATGTCTGCATAATTCTGAAGTGTTAAAAGTGGCCGCGCCTTTGGCAGCACGAAGTCTGCAGCTAGCTTTGACGGTTCCTAGTGTTCACCATTACATACAAGTATTTCTTAGTTGGAAATGGCTCAACAAAAATAAAACTTCTGGTGGCAAAACCCCTTCACAGAATATCCGCTCCATTTTTAATAAGCTGCACAACCAATACACCAAAACAAATGCTTAACAGCACTCGCTTGGAAAGCTGTGCACTCTAAAAATAACAGCCCTGATCTTACCACTGTTTAAAATTCAGAGGATTTTTTGCTCTAACAGGTTTGGGCACAATACTTCCACAGTTCCTGAGTTAATTACATTTGCCCAGACTGAAGAATGAAGCTGCAACTTAAAAAAAAAAACAACTCACCACAAGTAAATAAGACAATATCCCTTCCCAAATTTTAACCATCTTGCACATAAACATACCAAACAACATTATTTGGTCCTCAGTACTTTCAAATGGTTAATTTTGGAGGTAATATTTGTACCAAAGCATTTGGTTTGGATAGCAGTTTTGGGACATTAAGATTTAGCACTTCCCTCATCCTCCCCCCCAGAAAAAAAGTGCCTTTGTGGTATTTGTAAAAAAAGTTATGCCTCAAAATTTTTTTTTTTAAGTACCAACAGAAGTTATTACAAATGTTTATTGCATTGAGCTGATTCTTTTAAAGTGTTAAATATGAACTCTCCCGCTTCTCAGTTTCAGAGGTTTTAGTATTCTGTGTGAAAACAAATCTTCCCACGACAAAAGCTAATACTGGCAAAAGGGTGAAGATTCATCAGTTCATTACTCCACTGAGAACTGTGTCGGTTTTCCATCTCACGTTCACATTTTCTGTAGTGCTTTTCCACATAGAAGCGATGTGAAAACTCCTTTGTCATCAAGTGGTTTTCCACGTTTTCAACTGACCTCAACATTACGATGATTAGCTTTTCAGTGCTGGGCTATGGTTCTTGTCCCCTTCTTTGTTGTCCTTCATCAGTGAGGCAAACACCTGGGAAAGTAAATTATTTAATGAATAGAAAAAAGCCAGTATTATAAAAAAAAAAATCTATATTAACCACCACAATATTAGCATGGAGATTAATTTCTAGAATGAGATACTAGAAAGGAATCACCTCAGAAGTCAGACATGCAGCATAAAGCAGTTGTTAAGAAAAGTGCCCCATATACTCTCATGCTGACATGTCTGTGTTGAGAGATATATATGTACCCAAGAAACTCACCTGTGCCCATTTTTTGTTACTATTCTGCATCTGAATAGCTGCAATACAACTAAAAAGCTTTTCCGATGTAATGTCTTCTGGAAGTTTTGTTAGAAACTGTGCTATATGAATAAAGTCCATCTGTAGGAGAATATCTTCATATAACCGAAGGATTCCTAACCCTGTCCTAAACAAAAATTCTTCTCCATCTCTACAGAAAACGTCCCAGACACGACAGGCCAGATCAAGTGGTAATGACTTGCTGTAGAGTGTAAAAATCCTACAATTGAGAAACAAAGGCACAGTTATAACTTTAACCTGTGTCAGAAAGGTGAAAATACAACCCCTTCTAAATCTCAGTTACATTAACTGAGAGTAAGCAGATGACAAATTATTTCGTATTTTCTTATTTTTTCCATATTTCAAAGATCCACAAGTTTCAAGTTTTTAAAGTCAGAACTCCTACTCTGAAACCTATCTCTTTTCATGCTACAAGTACAGGAAATCCTCCATCTGAAAGCCACCGCCTTTAGGAAGCTCTGGCTAGAGTAGTTACAAATATCTTTACACTCCAACAGGGTGTAATATACAAATAAGAACTTAACCCTTCCCATTCTTTAAGGCATACAGTTTAACAGATCTATTCATGATTTGCTTTCTAAACTAAATCTAAAGCACAAATCATCTCAATAGAAGGCTATATCCCTTTAATGTACTAACGAGAATTCAGCAACTACATTTCCATGACACATTTTAAAATTTCTGTTCATGTTAAAAAACAACAAAATTTAAAGACAATCACTGTTCTGTTCTTAATGGGAAGAGTCCAATTCCATCTCTTATTGCAAGCTTATTTTTAAAAAAATATTCATTACACATGGGCAGAGAGTTCAGTCTGCTGTGTGTACCATATATTTGTAGTGGTTCCTTTGATACAAAGCACAGCGTTCTCTGTTTCCTACTGGGAAGTGGTTCAGGAAGCTCAGAATGCTCCTTACTGCAGACTACCACAACCTCTTCTACTCTCCTTTTGTAAGGGGAGTGCTCTCTATTTCAAGGCCGTCTTTGGAACACATGCAGGAATAACAGTCTTCGTTTCTCACAGGTGACTGGAAGCAGCATATTCTAGTACTTGTACAGCAGCACTATTTCCTCAACATATGTACCCCTCGCAATCTGCCTGAACTCTCAGGACTGCAGTGAGCTCCTGATTCAACGCTGCTGTTGTATAACCTGCTCCTGCTGGGACTTACTGCTTACTCATCAGCTGCATCTTAGAGCCAAAGTTCTTGATTCCCAAGCACTCAGATGACATGACGTTTTTATATTATTTGATTCTACCCAATTCAATTTATTCTTAGAAATGTCTAACCCATATAATAGCCCTATATGAAGCACATCCTTATCCACACACACACTTCTGAACAGATATTCTGTATTTGGCAGCACTACACATACTTCAAGGATGCTTGTATTACTGCCTTCCATTGCAGAAACATAATATGGTTTGGTACTCTCTGCTTTAGAACATTCATTACTTCAAACTGTTCACTGTATTTCCAAGTTTATCTCTTCCCAAACCAGATCCTAAATTTCATTCTCCTCCTGTTTTGAAGTCTAGATTCCTATATCCGTACTTTCTTCAGTAGCTGATGATGTTCATTTCATCAAGTCACTTGCGATCAAGTCATAAAGACGACTATGGCGTAGTAGTCTCCTCTCCCCTACTTATGTTACACACAGTTGACTCTTACCTGCAGCAACAAGAAAATGAGACACACAGGACTCCTGTGTGTCTGCTTTTCTGTCTGAATAGATGTCACTTCTAATCCCAGTTCATAAAATTTGAATTCTGCCAGAAGAACTGTGGTTCCACAAAACAGTTCACCACGATTTCACAAGACTTAGGAAGCTGAGGTACACAAACATCTACTGAATGCTTCTTTTATGCTGTATTTCTATCGTTGAAAAACCCACAGCAAAATGGAAAACGTTCCAGCAGTTGTAAGGTTATATTTGCTACGTTCTTTGAACTCACCAGTCTATCAAATATATGTCTGGACTAAGACTGTATGATTTGAAATGAAGAAACAATTTGGGAAGATTTTCTTCAAAGAATACTTCAAAGGCTGCAAAGTATTTCAGCATCTGTAGAGACAGTAAAGCACCTCATGAGCAGTCATCAAAATAATGTTTAGTTGTGAAGTTACACAAACCCCACCAAGAACTGAGGACGTCAACATAGCACAATATGACTTCTTAGGGTAAGTACAAACATTAAGTGTTTCTAGAGGAAAAAATCAAAAACACTAGGATGCATTTTACGGATTAGTACCTGGTATTCTCAGTTTTGTAACCACAGGTTAAAGTTGTCCATTATTCAACAGGTCAAAAGGAAGTCATCAGTAAATCAACTATGCTTCAAGTCAAAAGAACATTATGGTTCAAAACCAGAAAACTCTGTGCATACCATGCTGTGATCCACACGGAAAAAGGCCAGCTGGCATGGCTTATTTAGAAGGTTAGCAAAGGCAATGAAAGCATCTGCCTCTTCCAGATTGAGAATGAGCACAGCAGCAATGAAGGACATCCCTTGTACCTTCAAAAGTGGGAAAAGCATCGGGCAAATATAGGTGAGTATGTTCAGTACATCTTACATCTTTGGAAATGCAAACATTTACAGTCTGCAATACATCACATACCATTGCATAACATTTCCAGATGAACAGAAACAATACGGATCAAAAATTTTTATGCATGCAAGCAATTTCATTTCAGCAAGACATAAGAGTGTTTCTTCAGGAAGTTCTGGGAGGTCTCATGAGCACAAGTGCCTGGGACTTGGAATGCAAGAAAGTTAAAACCACAGAGCCTGGACACAGAGCTCATAAGAGCCAAAACTGGCTGTAAGTTCATTGTTAAGCTATGGGAAAAGCCAACATAGAGAAAAACCTCACATATGGGACAGTTTAGACCCAGACAGATATGCTGGAATTGAGACAAAATTCTGTTTCAGAACAGTCAATACAACGGTATTTGTTCACATGCACAAAATTACTTTTAAGTGGTTAGCTACAATGCAAGTTTACATTTTTCCACGATTACTCTCTCAAAAACACTTCAGCCTGCAATAAAAGTGAAGACCATTATTCTTGTAGTTGTTAACTGATGATCTGAATACTCATAGTATTAAAAAATGTTACCAATTTCAACTCCAATTGATGATTACTGTGCTGTTTCTAGGCATTTATGCTGCCTGCTCCTAATTTAAAAACATGCACTCAGTATTTTAACCAAACAGGGGGAAAAAGCATTGATATGCATCAAAACCAGTCCCTCAGCTTTCAATTTTTGTGGGATAGATGGGTGTGGCAATAAGATTACATTACATTTACTGCCATATTAACATTACCACACACCACCACCCCACCACCCCTGATCAGGAATATCCAGGCTCTCTGTGTTCCTAGTGAAAAAGAGAAGATCTATCCATGAAAAATTATTTATTTGCCTTTCAAAACTCCACCCTGGGAACAAGCAGTACAAACTCTGCAGGTCCTGGGAATCTCACTTAAACACTATGGGAGGGTCTCCACAAATAAGTAATAGATGACAGAATTCAGGGCTAAAAACATGTGAACATGAAAAACCAACTAGATACTGATGTAGAGTCCCAAGCATGTGCGATTTAGACAGGAAAACACACCCTGCGCTAAATTCTTTGTTGCATGGATCAGACTTAAAACTCTTCTTTTTCACCCAGAAGCGATTAGACCTTGTGAAAGGTGTTCCTAGCTACTGCCAGGAATAAAGAAAGAAGAAAAAAACCCATCTGTATTATTTAATTGCTTCTGTAAGCTGACACCATTCAGAAATGTTAGGTTTAGTTGGCTGGTTTGCAGGGTTTTTGGCAGTTTTTAATGGGTTTTCGGTTTGGTTTAAAAAAAAAAAAAATGCTGCAAACAATCTTCACTGAACTCAGATGGAGCTATTAATCTTCGACAAGAAGATATCGCTAAGGAGTTTTTGGATTTTAGGATGAATGGTAGTGAAGCAGAGAGCATCACTATGGAAATGGCAGCAATGGGACCAGAACAGAACAGGCCAAGTGCTCACTGGAAGTCCACTAACATTTTGGTTTTTTCCACAGATACTGTGGGTCTGTCAGAACTACAATGCCTTGTGAACACATTCATTTAAAATTTTCCATGCAAGTCAGACAGTATACTCATCCTTGACATTCAGTACCTTTTCAGCTGTTTAATTATCTATAAGAACTACCATCTTTGTAACTTCTATGAAATAAGCAACTGCCAAAGTTGAATTATTTTTAAGTGCTAGTAGCATAAAGCTTAGATAACCTACTTATTAAATACACTCTTAACACATGACGTCTTAAGCTTATTTGCCATGTTACAAGTACTTTACAGCAAATACTTACATATCCCACATCCGGTCTGTAACATGTATATGCTCCTAAAACACTATGCAGGAGATCATGATAAGGACCACCCTAATACAGAGGGAGGGAGGAGGGGGAAAGAAAAAAAATTTTTTTCAAAATCAGGAAGATAACAAGTCAGTATTTGAAGATGCAAGCAAACCAGTGCGTTATTGCTTTGGTCATATCTAGAATACCACCAGTTTTTACTCTAAGCATTACCATGTATGCTTTTAAGATGTTAAAGTAACAGACCAATAATCCTATGAAATAATTCAGTTGAAATCAGTACATAACGGAAAATGACAATATCTGGTACACATCCAGGGTTGGTTTTTCCTTTGCAGAGACAGTAGATGTTTTAATTCTTAGTAACCCAAGTTACTGTATTACAGTGGTGCATGCTATTTTATATACATGTGTATATAATCCAAAAGCCTGAAAACACATCAAGATTTCTGTAGAAGCCGTGAGAATATTCTCATTTTTTCATGTAATGTCATGAACATTATTGGAACCACACTGAATTTTTCCAGGAGAAAAAGCCTTATAGTGCATCTTTAAGTGTCCCTACTTTATTCTCATTAAAAAAAAATAAAAAAAATAAAAAACAGATGACTATTTACTTTTGTATGTAGAAGAGAACTAATTTTACTTTTGTTGTTTTATATAGAAAGCTTCTAAAAACTATTCCATGTTTAGCCAGCTAGGTTTCTTTTCTTGCTTAACTATTCAGAAGTTTAAAGTTGTCATAACTAAAGTTACAGAAATCTCACCTTCTGGAAAATATACAGGGATGGAAATGTGCGTGATATATCCAACTTAATTAGCTCCAGACTGGCCTCACGATCAGCAACAGATGCACCTGCATCTGCAAGCAAAACCAACACTTACTGAAACTGATATTAAATTCTACAAACTTCAGAATAAAACTGCCATAGGCACATAAAGACTTTTCGGATCTAAGGAAAAAAAAGTTACCTAGTTCTAATTCTTGGAGTGCACTTCTACAGTGCTATATGTCAAGAGCTAAAACTGTCCATTGAGATCTGGTATATGCCATCAACTCCAAAAAGTGAAGGAAACTATCAGTAATTACTACCTGTCTACTTGTTCTTTTTCAAGTCATACACCTTTACACCATTCACAGTTAAAAACAACAGGTCACCTTTTTCTTCTGTATAACACTCTATCCAGGCCCAGACTGGCCCTGTATTCACTAGAATTTGAACTTTGCCCAGGCCAGTCCTCAAAACCTCGTTTTCTTACTTTTCTTCTACTGTGACTTCAGTTACTGAGTTTGTGCAAGAGCACAGAGTGAGAGCACTGCTCTTAATCTAAAGATGATCCAGTGGAACCTCACTTTTGAAAATTTTCATTCCTAATTGGCTCACTTAGTGGCCCATTTCAACCAGCAGCATTGAAATATACTCTGTACACTAGAAGAAAAAGATGAATTGCATCATCATCACAAGAAGCCAGCACTTCTTTACGTGCAAAGTCAAGCATATTACTTTTAAAGTCATGCTTTTCTCATGTCCCACTTTTACTGAAGGTAACTAAAATATACAGATAAACTTCACTGAAGTTTCTAGACTTTACCACACAGTTATGATCTGCAGAAGTTACATTACTTCTGAGCTCTCATTAGACTCAAATGTTTTCACATCCTTAGGAGTGGCATTCCTCAGATGGCAGGAAAGAAGGCAGCTTTCACTAGTGATAGAGAGGAGAAAAATACATGTGGCATGTAGGCAAAAGGCTCTTTCAGAGGTCTAAACCAGTCAAGAGCCACCTGAGAAGTGGAAGATTGCAGAATTTGGTGAACAGGCTAAACAGAACCTGCTCTGCTGAAGCCTGGAAAGCTGCATTTTCTTCCAGTCCTCCTAAAACTAAGGTAGTTGCATTCAGGAGTGAGTGGAACTGCTGCACGCTGCATTAGGGGAATTTGGGAGAAAGAAGGCAATTATTATTACAGGGAAAGAACATACACAATCTAAAATAAAAAGTTCAAGAACTGCTGCTTAGTCCCTCCTTCCTCTTTCAAAAGGAACAGGTTTATATTGGTTAATCTGGGATCATTTCATTTGGAACAGTATCCATTTAGAGTATTCCAAGGAATATTATAATCTACTGTATAGAGCAGAAGCAGCTCTGGATTTATACAAGAAATTCAGTTCAACTCCAAAAGAGGAGTCGCTGGGGGTCTTTTGAACAGATCTCACAGAGAACACATCTTTTGATGAATGCTTTTTCTTCAAGACACAAAAAGACACTTTTCATGCTTTAATCTGCCAAAATAAAGTGTTAATGATATTTAAACATGAAAAACCTTCAGAACTAGTCTAATATGTTAAATGAGGCTACAGTAATTGATCTTCCAGACTTTGCTACCAAAGATTAGCAGTAAGCACAGTGGGCTGGTTTGCTTTTCAACCAGAGATGAAAATCCTATTATTTTAATTTTTCCCTTATTACTGCATTTCCCAGGACATTTGATGCAATCAAACTGGACCTTTCCCTCTTTCACGCCCATCCAGAACTACCACCTTTCCAAAATAAAGAAGTTACCTGAGCCTTCCCCCACACTCAGCCCACACCCCACAACGAAAGAACACACAAATCCCCACACCCTTGCAAACCAAGGGGCACTGCAAACATGTTTTCCAAAGATAGGCATATTTACAGACATGTACACAGCCAATTTGTTTTACACAAGTTTCAGACGAGTCACAGAGGTAGCCTAACGAAGGCCCAAATAATTTACAGTCAAAGTAGCCAATCAGTCAGGATGGGCTATGATAAGCGCAAACAAAAAGTACTTCTTGTATTACAATGGAATTTTTTTTCCCCAAAAAAGAGACCAACCCAAAAAAATAGTTGTTTCATAGCAGCTGGTACTGACAGTATCACTTAAGACAGCATTTTAAAAAGTAACTGTTAACAGCATGAGTAGTTAATGTTTACAACAGGGATATATCCACCATATAAACATCATTGATGCTATTTTTAACAGGGAGAACAGCCACAGGAGACAGCAATATGCCAGTGATAAAACTCCATTATACATACAAGTGCGCTAACATCCCCACTTAATAGATTAGGGAGGAAAGGCCACGTGGGCAACCAAGGAAACCCAAGTGGGATCCAAAATGTGTAGTATGTTACATAATCTTCACCTTTCAGTTCCACAATTAAAAAAAACAGAATAATTTTTTTGTTTCCCAAAATTGTGGAAGGGATACCAACAAAAGAACCATCTAAGCAGAGCTAAGCAAGAGCACATACTGTAATTTAGTTTTGCATTATTTCTTTTTTCGTATTTCATCTAAAATTGCCATGAGAGCTTAGTCCTGGTATTTCAGGAATTCAGAGGAAAACACATTCAATTGAAAGTAAACTAGCACATGCAGCATTTCAATGCACCTTTCACTGACACAGTACATACTGTTAAGTTCCTCACTCACTGACTCGTTACAAGGAAACAAACTTTTAAGCAGGGAATGACCCACAGCCCTTTTAACAAGTATTCCTAACACTGCAATTGCAGCTGCACTTGCGAGACTTTCTGGGTTTGTAAAAGTGAACAGGAGGCTGTCTAGCATTCAGGAGATCTCACCTTCTATGTCATTCTCAGAACTTGTCTCACTGAAGCTTTTCCATCGTTCCTTAGCTCTCGACAAGAAGATTTCATAAAGTTCTGCAAGAAAAAAAACAAACCAACAACAAAGAAGGAAGAGCTAAGTAAGAAAAGCACCCATCCAAAACCAAAGCACACTAAGCATTCTTGGCATTGGGTTTGTTGCTTGGTTTCATCTTAACGACTGGGGGCATGGGAAGAATCTATTAGGTGGTTACCACTAACCACGGGAGTACCACTATACACAGTTTTATAGTGTGCACTGTATTACGCTTTCCTCTGCGAAGACGCAAATTACAAGAAGGAAATCATGTCTGACATAATTCAGGTTTTCATTTTTGTGAACAGGTTAGAACACTTCCAGTTCATCAAAATCATTAGTTATGAAATAAAGCAATTCTCCTTTCCACCCCTTAAGAAAGCAAAGCTAGAAATTCTCAATTTTAAACACAAAAATTATTTTTTGGTGGGGAGGACCACCTTAACTCTTGTAAGGCTAAAATGTTTTTGTAAGCAGGTTTTGAACTGTTTCCATAATTTACCAGTCTATGACCTCTATTTGTAAAAAACATCTACTCCTGAGGTTAAGTACAGTTTTTCCAAAAAGCAAATATACCCTCAGTTATTTTTTTTGTAACAAAAGTTTAAATTTTTCTTTAAAAATAACCAACTTAATGTTGCATTAAAATGTGATCTGTTAAGGCATACCAGGAGTGATATTTAATTCATTTCCCACAGCTAGACTCCAGACCTTCCCACGTACACTTGGGGGTAACCCCTGCCACCACAGCTCTCGAACTCTTCGGGTAGCACGCCTAGGATAGCAAAGCAGGGTAGGGGAGAAAAAAGGCACAAATTGCACATCTTGTTTTCTAAAATCATTGAGCCACTTACAGGCAAAATAACATACTATTTCCCAAATCAATATTCAAGGATCTCTGCTTATGCTAAAGTCCCATTAAAACAACACAAAACATTAAGCTCCCAGAATGCACATTTCATGTTGCTCTGTAATGACTTCTCACTATCATGGCAACAAAAACTGACTTCTTGACAAAAGAGAAATGAAAAGGAAAATAAGGCATGTGGTTCCTCTGTTTCCACAGCAAAAACAAGCCAGCCTTGTCTCATTTACAACAGAATTTTACTTACATGCCTTCCCAGTTAGGCAGTATTTCATTGACCCAAATCACCATAGCACTAGCGATATTCTCTTCTTGCTTGAAACGCTCTCTCATTATTTTTTTCCTTTTATGTGCTTCTTTAATTTCTGTTAAGTGCAACATGTTAATAATTCTGTATTAGTGTATATGAATTATTAGGTAAATAATTCAGCTATTATATAAGTATTTAGATAATGTTTGAAGGAGATCAAGGGTAAGTTACAGCTGCACAAGAGCTACCTGGTACTATTTCTATTGATTGTAGGTGTATTTCTCAGGCAATTTTTAAATTTAAGCTACTTTTAAATTATTCAAGTACACAGTGATTTAGACAAGCAAAAATCTGGCTAGAAAACTTAGCACTCTTTTCTGCAGTACACAGAATGACTAAAAAGCAAGCACATCATCAGCGTTGTTTTTCCTGTAATGAATTTCACACCCTTTCTACCAAAACCTGACTTTTTACTTAGACTAATCAGCAACAATTACAGATAAAATTATTATTCAGAAGTGCAATTCTACACCCATTTTACAATTATTCAAATTTTACTGAAGCTTCCACCTGGAAGGATTATGTATTTTCTTTTCTGGAAAGAGTACCTAAAGATCTGAGACAAAGCCACAATACTGAACAAGAGAAAAGTATTCTGCCTTATGTTAAAAAAGGACCATTTGTAGATCCCTCTTTATTGAAAATTCTAAAAGGACACAGCAGTGCTATCTTGACATCAGTAAGAACAACTATGAAATTGGAAGACATTTTCTATTTGTCAAGGCATTAGACACATCAACAGAGTAAACATGCCATCCGTGGTAAACCAATACAGCTGACCAGCTTCATTAAGTTTTTACTGAAGCTTTGTGCAATGCAACAGTTAATTTAATGAATACTGGGGCACACACACCAAAACATTGCACATGGCTGACCCTCCAAAGATGCAGTTAGAGAACATGGACCACAGATCACACCTTACAAGATGCACACCACAAGAGAAGAATGAAATGAGCTGTCAAATGCCTTGGATTTCTTATTACATCTTTCAGAGTAAGCTGCCACAGACCCAGAGAGGCTCAATCAGTTCAGAAGCCTGTATCTCTGCCAATAGCCCAAGTAAAACATTCAGCACAGATTCTTAAAATAGCCTAATCCCCGAATACTGGGCATGAGAATACAGAAGTCCTTTCAACAACTATTCATAGATTGACACACTACCAGATGCTACAGATATGTTTAATTTAAAAAATAGATCTAGTGGGAGCAGGAAGGTTCACACAGGTACAGCTGGTTGGAAAAAAACCCCAAAGTATTCATCTGTCTTCACACTGCAATTGATCTCAAATTCCTGGGAAAAAAGATCTTTAAGCAGTCAGCTTTATTATATTTTGCCTCACAGTGGCAACTGCAGCAACACAGCTTGAAAGAGTCCAAGTATGCAGCAAGTTTCTAGCTGATCACATTACGCAAGTAATTTAAAAAAAAAAATCATCAAGTTCTTACTCAAAAATTAAAGAAAGGGTTAAAGTGACTTCTGAACCTAGTTATGGTCACTGTGGTGGATTAAGAAACCAATTTGATAACTGAGTTCTGTTTTAAACTGTGTGTACATACGTAGCACAGAATAACTTAGATATTAACCAAGGTTGTTCTTTACTGTACCTACTAGCCTACAAGCCAGAAATTACTCTCTTTTGCTGCATAGTTAAAAACAAACCCATAGTGATCATTGGCAGTTAACATACCTCGTTTTTTTGCCTCTGCCACCATCTCATCATATTCCTGGCGGTGACGTAAAGCCTCCTCCACTGATTTGGCAGGAAGATTTCTGAAAACAAGTTGTTCCTGAATTCAATACACACAAATGACATTCTGAACCATTTCAAAACATGTTTTAATTTGGCTTCTCTCTAAGGTGAGCTTTGGGGTTGTCACACCATCAGTGTTTCAGTAATGGCAGTAGGGAACTACCAGATGTTTACTGCTTGTGTTGATTAGTTCTCCTACAGACTCCCCCAAAGCAGCATTACTGGATTTGCTGAACATCTGGAATGATGCTCAAATGAAGTTTGCATGAAGTGACAAAAGGGAAACACTGATATTCCAGAGTTATGTGTTCCAATACATTTCTGCGTATGTATATTTTAATCATTAAATATACCTGCATATCGATACTCTATTTGTTCATATGAAATCTACAATGAGGTATTTTCCATAAAAGGTACTGGGTTTATTCATTACAGTTAGCCCTTTAAAACTCCCACAAAAGAAGATAGGTTTCCCAAAGGAAGAAAGGACAGACCCTCATTTATGTCAGAGCTAAAGCTAAGGAAGCTTGCTGCAGCGCTGCAAGACCACCAGCTTAAAACACGTTTGGGTTTTGGCTGCATAGTGATCCCCTAATTGCCAAAGACACACTACCTTTCGACCAAGCAGAATCACTCCAAAACAAATCAGAACACAATGTTTGGTCTCAGTCTCTTACCCAATCTCTAGTCTACTTAGGTTCAAAATAAACAGAAGACAGTTTTGTCATTTTAGCGTAAAAGAGAGTAGTATTCCATCTCCTCTTACACAATATATTATATTAATATTTCCAACGGAAGTGAGAGCAGAATATATTTTCAATGATGACATTGCGACAACACACTACACACTTGGAATGGCACTCCAATTTGAAACAAGCGAAAGTGTAATTTGTAAAAAGATACTTAGGTTGTGAATTGTGATATTTTGAAAGTACAGAAAAGCATTAGCAAACCAGTTACTGCATACCTTACTCTCCACCACACAGTAAAAGAAAGAACGCATCCAAAAAAAAGCATCATAGCAATCCATACCTCCATTCAGGATATTTCTGTCTTAGCACTGAATGAGCTTATATACCACGAGAGAAAGTATCAAAGGAAACACTATAAGTTCTATTTTCCATTTTCTAACTGGAACTGATTAGAGCAAGCATTTAACAGTGCCATCACAAGCCTTCTCAAGGTGCAGTTTGGAAGCTTTGCTCCATTTGCTTTCCTCGCAGCATGTTCCTAGTCAGCAGGTCCTCCTCATTCCTTCAAACTGTTGAAGACTATAGCTGAAAATACTGACCAATTTATTATCCATTTTTCATTACTATTCTTATTTGTACTTAATGCAGTTTTTGTTGCATCTTCATCTGCTGTTTCCTTGCCTTGAGCTGTGGGTTTTAGGAGCCATGAAAACATAACTGGAACAGGGGCAAGGAACAGTATCGGTAAACACTATCATCTCGGTACCAACAAAGCGTTTGACTGTAGTTGCCAGATACAAAACAAGCATTTCACATTTGTGACAGGAAGGTATTTTTTGTGTTTCAAAGGCAATTCTTCCCACTCCTGCGGTTACCTACCTAATACTTATTCTTTTTTTAGTTTTTTAAAAGACTCTTCTGGTAAGTCAAATCCAGGTTTGCTGAAGTAACAACTGCCACTGTTTAGTCTTCCTGACTGGTCTAAAAAATTAAGTTTCCAGAATAGGGGAAGGAGAAGGGAGTGCACACTGAGATGGCAGGGAAGAAATCCATAAAAGTCTTCAGGAATTTTAGCAATTAAGGATGCCCACAACACTGTCACAGGAAGCTGTGATACACAGTAGATAACAAACTGCTGGCCCCATTATAGTGAGAAAGAAATCTTCATATAGACTGTATTATACTTAAATGTTCTTCCAGATGTATTTGTTAGGCTATTAGCTGGGGTGGAATAATCCAGTGATACTTTTGTGTAAGACTTCGGAAGTTTAGCTCATCAGAAGCATATCTAACAAGTTCAGTCGCCATCAGCTCCACAGCAGAATCATACTTACGCTGGTCGATCCTCCAGAATCAAAGCAGTAGTTGAAAGTGGTTCAAATTCAATGTTTTTGCGTCTTGCTGATGGAGGTGGAGGTTTATACATTCTTCCTGTCCGTGCTTCATATTCCTAAACAGCATTATTAGTAAAAATTAAATTTCAACTTTCTGCCTCGCTTCTAATGTTACTTAACACTTACTAAATAATGTTAAAATATATTATATTCAGTAATTTACAACAGCAAGGAGCTAACATTACAAATTGAAACTGCTTATAGCAAGACAGTGTAGCTTTCCAGGACTGCTAAGTAAAGATGAATGAGGAAGCAATTTCTTGCATCAACTTAATCTTTGGCCTATTCTAGTTCAATATTACTACTAAGCATCCAGGGATCAGTTACAGTTAGAAAATCTGCATGATCTCCCCAAACTAATTAGTGCGCAAGTATATTTAAGTAAACTGTGAAGTTGACAACCCCCACAAAAACCCCTAACCAAGAATGTGTGTGTCTCCTCATTTCTTTCTTTTCTATTCTAGCCATCCTTAATATCAGGTATCCTTCATGTAGATAAGCCTTGCTAAAGGCTTCAGAAACATGATCCAGAACTACCTACACTATTGTTACATTGTCCCTGAGTATATTTATCATTACAAGTCTGTTTCACATTATTTCTTTCTCAAAAGTTAAAACATGCAATCTACATGCAAGAAAGAAATATTTAAGAGCCTTTAATACACAGAAGATTCTGAGAGAGAAAGAATTCCATTCCTTTTTCCACAGAGCAACTCAACAAAACAGAAACATGAGACAGTCTTCAGGAAAAAGGCTAGACAGAGCCACACGAAAAACTCAAATTTCACATTCCCTTTTTTTTAGTCTCTGTAAATAAAAATTTACTGCCAAGTTACTAGGAAATCCATTCTTATGATCCATCAAATCTTAAAAGATTATCTGTGAGGAGACTTTCAACTTATTCCCAAACCATTAAATTAGCTTGTGTGTTCACACTCTCCTTAGGCATGAAGGCTAAATACTAGTTTCTCTGCAAGTCTTCCACTTGCTGGAACTTAAACATAGAATACTAAGAGCTGAAAAATCATCTTTTTAAGATAACAAATTCAAGGCACTTTACTAATGTACTTTGACAGATCACACAGCTCTATTCTTAAGCACAGCCAAGTGAACTCTAATTTGTACAAGCTTTTTTGTTATCTAAACGCAGTTTGTTCTTGTACATCTGTTGCTTTAATAATCGTGTAAGTAAATTCAGTCTTGGAACAACCAAAGCATCTTATGTATAAGTAACCAAAAATAAAAAAAAATTATCAATTACCAATTAGGTCATGTATCTTCCCAATCAAACATAAACTTGTGTCTATAAACTGCTCCCAAATGAATCTCACACCTAACACACAGCTTCCTGTATGCATTAGTTCTCCCAGGGAGAAACAGAGGGCTTCATACATTCAGTGTTCATCGATAGCATTACAGAAACAGAGCTGACAACTTTAAATCCATTATATAACTTAAAAGTTCAGTACACAGTTGAAGTCCATTAAGTTAAACGGGAAGAGACCTCTTACAAACACAACAATGCAGCCTCAGATCTCCAGAGAAGACACAAATCATTCGCCCAACACTAAGGTGGCTTAAAGCTTGCTGCTCAACAGCCTCCTTACCCTACCCACTTTAACAATCTCTAACAACACTTCTGTTCCTCCACATTGGCATAATATATTAAATGATCTGGAAAGTATCACCTCAGTGAAGTCATGGTAATCTCATCTCCAGAGGACATTATCACAGAATCACTGAGGTTGGGACGGACCTCTGGAGATCACCTAGTCCAGCCTCCCCGCTCAAAGCAAGGTCAACTACAGCAGGGCCTTGTTCTGCCAGGTTCTTAACGTCACCAAGGATAGAGGCTCCACTCTTGCTAGGCAGAGGCTACAGCACCTGGTACTCCCAAGTGGTTTCCCATCCAAGTACCAGCCAGGCCCAACCTGTTAACATCAGAAATCAGAGCAGACCCGGTGCGTTCACAGTGGTAAGGCCATATGCACTACATGCCACGACACTTGTCAGATCCTGAGGTGTGATCTGGACTTCTTGTCCTTCTCTTTTTCTAGTTTGTGGGAGTCAAAACAATAGTTTAATGGATGAGGAAGGGTGTTTGCACCTCCACAAACAAGCCAAAAAATTGTTTTGAAACAGTCTCAGTATCTTTGGAAGTGATTTCCACTCCACCCCTCTCAAGCCGCCTTCAGCTACCCTTCCACCCTGTAACCACTGTATCATAGTCTGCCCCATGGCAGTGTACCAAATACCTCATTTTGTTAGTGCCCTGGAAAGACAGGCACAAATCTATAGAAATCAGCCTACTGTTTCAACTAGAGGAGCTCTGTTGCTTTTCGGTCTTCTAAAAAGCCCAAATACACACCTTATAAAAAAAAAGTGGAACTGTTTACTATCATCATTTATACATATGTGCACACTAAAAACCTAATTCTTTGTAAACACAATGACTTAAAAGTTACTAGCCAACTGTTCTTAAATACAACTTAATTCTAAATATTTCTTAGTCTCTGGCCAAGAACATAGTCTCTGGCTATACAAATTTCCTAGAACATATTCTTCTTCTGAAGCGCAATTACCAAGAAAACTTTTGATTAAAATAATACGCATCGAACATCATTCAGCACATTCAAACAAGTATCGTGAACAACTGGACATATAGGATTGGTAGAGTTCTGTTGTAATTCACATAATCACAGGAAAAATCAGAAAAACAACATTCACTGTATGAACGAATATACATATTCTTAAGCCTAATATTATTTAATTCCACCTGAACACAGAGACATTATAGGCACTCGGGCCATGCCTTATTCCTCAGGATACCCCAGCACATTCTTAAGTTAGGCATGCATCCTGTGATAGCACCTGGAGATCAGCATCCAGGCTGCAGTAGAGTAGCAATGCCATCCCTCACATTCTTGGTGGAAGTTCCGATTTACTTTCGCATTTTCCAGTACTTTGTAACAGAAGCCACAAAATCAAGTTCATTTAGTGGTCAGAGATGAGGACGCTCAAATGGTACCACTTTTTTCAATGTTCCTACATACCTAATTTGTATGAAAGTTAAACAAAAAAAAGCACTGCAAGATGGACATTAGAAACGAAGCCACTCTCACCTTTTTATTACAAGTAACATGCTTGAATGGTGCTAATGCTTCTGGCTGTTGCACATGCTAAGAACTGACATACTATTTCCAAAGCAACAGAGAAACAAAACAAAAAAAAAAAAAAGAAGAATCTTCATCAGGGATTTCCACCCACATGCTAAGAACTGACATACTATTTCCAAAGCAACAAAGAAACAAAACAAAAAAAAAAAAAAGAAGAATCTTCATCAGGGATTTCCACACAAGGCAGAACTGATCACCCAACTATGTTTCTGGAAGTGAGTATGTTTCATGAACAGCTGGTTTTTGCAAGAAAAGAATACATTAACAGAGAGGGAAAACTGTAAGCATTACTAGGAGGAGTCAAAGCAGAGACCAAAATAGCTTCCAGCTCAAACTGCCATGGCTGCACATTCCCCAAGATGAAATACATTCCAAAGTATCAGAACTTACCAATGGAAGATGCTTCTTCCTCAAGAAGCCTGTGCTCTAGGAAACTTCTCTGAATATTACATCCCAGAACCAGACATGCATGGAACTCACTAGTTTGAGCAACTAAAATATCCATCCTTTTTTTCTGGAATATTTTGTAAGACTAGATGCAAAGAATCCAATAGCCTTAACCATTTATTTGATGCACAATCTAAAATTCTCAGCATGAGATACAAAGCTCGCGCTGACAGAATTTCAATTCAAAAGATCTGAGTGAGTATTCTTCCCTGACAAGGTAAAAATACAATTTAAAGTCAAATGCCTTGTCAAATGCTTAACATGCAGGGCATACACCAGAGGACAGAACAGTTGACAGCTAAGATTCAAGACTACATAAGACCTTTTTATGTTAAAAAAAAAAAAAATTGGAAGGGTCATATGTATGGTTTCTGTGGCTTAGGGAATGTTCAAAAATTCTTTATTATAGCGTATCTGGCATTCATTGAAAGTTATGGAACATTTCACAATCTCAAAATAAAAGAAAAACAAATCTCAACTTTCATAGAGAGTATCTCTTAGATACTTATCTTCTAGATACTCTTAGTAGAGAGTATCGCTTTAATAGAGAGTTATCTCCTTATTAAGGCTGGAACTGCATCCTCTCATCTACTGCCAATAATTAACCTGTTAACAAGCTAAAAGCATGTTTTTCCTGACAAAGCCAGTGACAGTACATTTAAGAGCACTTCGGTATGTGGAGGGACTTGTATTTCTGGTATTTATTCCTACAGAAATAGATAAGCCTATTAACCTACAGACAGGTAACAGGTAAATGAGGCTAGGGGGGAAAAAAAAAAAAAAATTCTGTTGCTTATAAACTGCCTTTGTGCTTAAGAAGATAAAAATATCCCAAGCTATTTCTTCTCTAAAAAAAAAAACCCACCACACAAACAAAATATAAAAATCCCCTGGTGTTTTAAACAAAAGAAAAATAATAAGCCTGCAGAGGTCTTTATTGCCTGCACTTTTTGATATCTACATGGAAAACATAAGAAACTGAAGTTTCTTTCATCCTTCCTCAGGATGGCTGTACAGGACAGCTAGACTATTCAGAGTTATTTTAGATACCTCTAAGCACTTGTGGATTGCACCGTGTAACGTACGTGTAGTTGCCCATAGCTGCTTATTCCAGCATCTAAGGAAACTATCTTACAGAAAGGAAAGCCAACTGCATCGCAGCATTCCAAAAGCATTAGCTGACCTTAAGCAGGGTATGCTTGGAGGGATAAAGTATTCAATTAAGTGTGCAAATAATGATTCAATTTTAGAAGACAAACTTGCATCTACAGTGCCCAAACTATAGAGCTTTAAAGAAATAAATACTGACCATGAAATTTAACATGCATCTTGCTGGGATAAGTTTTGACCTATCTAGGATCCAACAACAAAAGCTGAACTCCTGGAAATGAGTGATAAAAGCCTTACAAGGACTGCGAAAGTCCTCACGGTCCTGAAAGTACCAATTATATAGACTAAGCACCACAGATCCAATTATGTTTTAGGTATTCTGGAGGAAACAGGGACCTGACAGGCAACACTGAATTAACTTTCACTGTCTTGAGGATTGCCTCTGCTTCAAGCAGATGTCAACAATATTCCAATTAAACAAAGCATGCGCCCTGCATATGACTGTTATTGAAGGAGGGAAAAATACTAATCTTCACATAGTACAAGAGAACAACCAAACAGACACTGAACCCCTACCATTCTGTCGTTCTGTGTGAGTTTCTAGGTCAACCTTCCAAACTAATGCCATCCATCTTCAATTGTTCATTTACTTTTTTCCCCTCAATTGGATATTAAACAACTAGCATCAAGTTGCATCTTTTGTTGTTTACAGACGAGCATGAAGCCATGGGCTTTGGGCCCAGTAAAGAAGAGCTGAGAGTGGCTGGACCATGTAACGTGAACCATAGGCATCACGTATCAACTAGCAGCTACATTACTGCTCTGTTTCACAAAGTCAGAGTAACAGAGCCATAGAACTAAAAAGTCAACTTCTACTATTCCTGTTTAACACCGAGTGTGGGATTAACATAAAAAGTTTTCAAAGGAACAGGCATGTGCATTGGACCAGTTTCAGAAGGATACCAGTCACAGCAAAGAGAAGATGTAACATGTAACAGAAGTTTCAATCGCTACATTTTTCCAGGTTTCCAATTTCATATTGGAAATAGTGATTAAAAGTGTCTGGACTTCTGAAGTGCCACTGTTAATAGCCTGTGTGACTTAGTGACATGGGGAAAAAAAAAGATTCTACAATATCAGTTTTCAAAGCTAATACAAGGTGTTCAAAAATATTACAAGTTAAGCCTTTTCACAACTTTTCTCATTAAGCAAGGAGGCACAACAAACATAGAAAGTAAATTACTGTCAAGCTCCAGCATTACCTATTTCCTGCTATTCAATAACATGCAATATAAACAATAACAAACAATAATACTCTATCACTTAAAGTTGTTAGTGAGATTCATGTGTGAAGTTTATTCGTCTGTTTATTATACTAATGGTATCTAATGAGTTGATGGTTAGTACCATAAAATATTCATGCTACTGTGAAAATGTGATGTTTGTTCTATTTTAATGAGTGCTACATAGTCCCATGCATGGCACTGAATACAACTAAAAATATGTATATTAAATTTCATACCCCTGTGTTTAATAGACTGAGAGCAGATATTGACGCAAGACTGCCAGAACTGTCATCCTAATGAGAAAAACAGAAGCAAAGCCTTAGTGAATAAATGAAGGAAAATGTCATTACAATACAGCAACATGCAAGTCAAAATTTAAAATCACATGTAGAGTATTTATACTCTATGTTTGAAGAAACACAGGTGTGTCTGTTCCTCCTTCTTCTCCAGGCCTCAGAATATACAAACATACATACAAAGACTCCCCACTTGTGCAAAATGTGTATAGACATCTGTTGGACTATTTTTCCATTTTAACTGAAGTTTTGTAGTTTCTACAATCAGCACCTTTGCCCGAAGAGAGATCTTTTTCCATGGCACATCCCAGGTGCATGACAAAAGGCGTTCCCTGACATACTGTCTCTCCCTAGTCGACACCATCCACAAGTTACACCTACTTAAACACTAGCTTTGTAAGATACACTGTTAAAAAGGAAAGAACAAAACATCATCTATAGTCTGACACAAGAAAACAGAAATTGTTTGCTCTGAAAACGAATCTTGAAGATTTTGCTGTCATTCAGCTCACCTTAAGATTGCATCCCACACCCAACTAGATCTTTACCCATAAGCTAGTTAGCTTTAAAGATCAAAATGAATTCTCAAGAGTAGCACTTGCACTGTGGAGAAAGGGAAAAGAAACATAAGTGGACTTGAACAAGCATTTGGCAAGACACAAAATGCTAGGGTAACGTGCAAACAGAACTTTCACATTAAGTGGGGTTTTCTATTTAACATGAGTGCAAAAAATGTCACTAAATAGCACAGTGACTTAAAGCGGGCCTGTAAGTCCTCCACCTTCCCACCTGCCATATTATACTTAGAATTTCTACATTGAAAGCTCAGAAGTGGACTACGCCTCAGCCTCACTGGTGACCTGATGAGAACCATGATACATTTGTAAGGCTTTGAGAAACAGTCACTTAAATTAAAGTAAGATTCTGAACAGCAGTCTGAAACCTCTCATACCACACTGTAGCAAGGCAATCAGCCAAAAGCACGCCCAGCTACAGGAGACTGTACAGCCACAGCCCTGCATGTTTCCATTCCAAAGTCAAAGCTGGTTTCCTGATGGAAAACCCAAACTTAAAGGGGGGGACACAGACAGATACACAACACATGGACACAGCCGTTGCTTTTAAGCACTGGATTACAGCACCTGGAAGAAGGAAAACAAGCTCTTCATCATGCCTTCAACGTTCTTTCTGAACATATCTGCAGCGTTCTTGTACCGTGCATACCCTAGACTAATAAAAAGCATTTTAAAGGCTTCCTTCTCCCTTGCCATACTATTTTCTCCTTTTCAATACTGAAGTACCATGCCAGCCTCAGAGGATAAGGCTTATATTAAAAAAAAAATTCTAAAAAACATCCACAAAAGACAGCATCTTTACCACCTGAATCTTTCTGCTAAATCCTATCCTTTTGGACTTTGATACAGCCTGCCTAGATGATGATTTTGCTACTGCAGCACCTCAAGTTCATCAGCATAAGTCTGCTTAACCTGCAAAAGCTCACTTCTTAAGAGAAGAAAAAGCAAAGTTTTTAATTTACAAAAATAAATTATTTTTATCCGTGCCATCCTTCGCTAAAGAAATTCATAGACCCAAAAGAGCAGGAGGCATCCCACCAAAAAGAGGGCCTAGAAGACAAAAAAAAAAAAAATTCCAGTGTCCCACCAAACCAAGGTAAAAGAAGTTCTACCATCTTCCTAACCTCAATTGTTTCTAAATTTTTTTATTTCCCCAAAAACCAGCAACTTTCAAGGACAGAAACTAATACATACAAAAAAAAGCTTATGCTTTCTATTTCAGGCTTCAGGAAGAGAAAGCTTGCTTCAGTACTCTTCATAGTTGACCTCAAAGACTTTTTTTAAAAAAAAAAAGCCAAAACACCACACAGCAATCAGAAGAACTCACATCAGCACGGTCAACACCTCCACAGTATTTTCAAAACATTAGTCTCACACTGACTGTATAGTACACCCCTGAAGACGCATTTGTGCCACCAACATAGCACTGACATCATGAGAAGTTCTCCCTGACAAGTTTACCTTGTCAAAGCAGCTGAGTGAGCCCTGGTACTAGGAGCTGAAGTGTATTTTATGTCCTTCAGGCAAACAAAAGGAGGCATTTGTCTCATCGATGGCCTACCAGTTTCATTACCATGTTATTGACAAGATAATCACTGCAAAAGTCTAAAATGCTGGGAAATGCCTTCGAAAAACTGCAGTATAACACTTTGTTTTATCTCTAGCATAGCATTTTACTGACTACATGTGACTCCGGAAAGATGACGGCCAAGTCTTGAGAATCTGACTGCTACAGTGCCTACAAAGAAAACCATCACAGCCTTCTCACTGCTGCTAGCAGGCAGTTATTCATGTGTTACATGTTCCTTCCAAGACCCAATACCCCCATTTATTGTCTGTCCCGGTTTGAAGGCAGTTAGTTAGCAATGTATTTCTACCTGCATCTGCTAAAAATGCAGAAGTCTTGCCTTTTTCTTCTCTCCAGTGCAAGATGATCCAACAGGACCTCTATCTAGGTAACTATCTGCTTAAGAACCACTCCTATGAAAAAGCATCTAGCACTGTATTTACCTACTTCTTAGACATTCAAATGCTTAGATTTGTTGATAAACATGCCGTACACACTTTTTAAGCATCAGGAGCTTCATGCACATTAAACTGAAACAACAAAAATTGGAGGGAAGAGTTAATATTGCAAATTAGAAGGTCCGAGTTGTACGAAAACTGATTCAAAAGTGCATCTGTTCCTCTGAAGAGAAACCTCCGACAATTCTTGTCCCCGGGAGACCATGGGAGTTGTGCTGATTCAGTGAATGCCATTTCTCTGTTAAATTTCAGACTGGCGACAACAACATCAGAAAAATACGCAAGTGAAGACACTGTTTCTTAGCCCTCAAGTACAGTAATTTACCTTTTTTTTTTTTTCTAAAGTATTTCAGAGCCACCCAAAAATAGTATTTTCTGAGGTTAGTTGTAGGACAGTGACCCAGTCATCAAAATCAGAGTCAGTATTTAACTGACTGTCTAACATTAATACCTTCCATTTTGTACGCAAGGTGACAGCTCGTGGAAAAGATGGTTTTGCTTCACTTCTGAATAAGCAATTAGTTCCAAATCACTGCAAGCTTTTCACGGTGTGTTAGATTCAAATAGAAAAGCAGTGCTTTTTTTCCTGCTCCTATTTAAGCCTGTCACTGACAGTACATTATTAAAATTGCTGATATCTGAATTTGGTATATGTTTTACTTTTCTTTATCCTGCACTGTATATTTCCATATTTTGAGTTTACTTTAATTCAGGCATATTAGGAAAAAAATCACCATTCTGCTTTAACCAAATTAATAAAGTATTCAAGATTGCTTTAATAAAAAGCAAGAGCTAAACTTAATTACTTGATTTTCAGAATCATTTTGTTCATAGATTAAAAGCTCTCTTATTAACCATAAGCACAAAAAATGAAATTGAGCTTGTATTTTTAAACAGAACTTGCACTTCAGTCAATACACACGAAAATGTTACACATCAGCCCACAAGTTGGTTTCTGCTTTGAATGCTTCTATATTAAAATATTTCAGCAGTCTAATTTAAAGCAGATTTCTGTACAGACCCATAAGAATTTACCAGACTGATTATTAATGACCACATACTTCTCATAATAGCCCGTCTTATTAGCTGCAGTTCATGAAAAAAGACACACTTGCTCAAATCAAACGCATTTGACATCTGCAGTCCTAAGCAGTTGCTGTTTTCCCTTTTTAAAAAACAGTGAAGGAAGGAAGCCCAGAGGAGGGAGACGTCCAGCAAAAGAGTTGGCCTCAATCACATCCTGCTTGGGCAGCTCTAAATCCACGCAGAGCTGAGCGTGCCAGCAGCTGCGAGCGGGGAGATGCAGCTGCCAAGAACTTCCAGCCTCTGACCCAGCTGGAGCTCGAGCATCTTGCCCAGAGCACGTTGTCGGCGGCACCGCTGCAGGGCACTGCCATCGCCCCGGCCAGGCAAACCCTGCAGCTTGCTTTTCGACGCAAATATTTGTCCTCTTCTACATATGCCGAGAAACTTGCAAGAAATTATTTACAGTAATATTCATTAGAGAATCTTTGAAGGCAGAGCTGGCTAGCATCGCTGTCTGAAAAATGTCTGAAACTGTATCCCAAACTGAGGTCCAGATTTTCTTGGAAGTTATTCAAGGTATTAGAATCATTACCTGATTTCTCTGGAGAGACACATATAGCAGTGTCTAGTTGACAGACAGTGACTGGGAGCCACCAGCATTCATTTAAATGTAATTACTGATTTACTACATCATCCTTACCAAAACAAAGATAACATAGGATGCTTCCGTCAGCCAGGATGGAAACACGGCATGTGAGCTCTACCAACCTTTTTACTATAAATCTACAACGATGCAATTTTTTTTCTTGTTTTACTAACAGAAAAGTCCCTTAAGCTTCACAATATTGCCATAAAGCTTTGATGCAAGTATTACTCTTACCCAAAAGACAACTTCCTTCTATTAGTTACAAAGTTTTTCCAGTCGTGAGTTAATTTTTCCTGCAAAAAGGCTTCTTAAGATCTCACTCTTCATCTGAAGGATGCTGACTCATTGAGCTTCCTTAATCAAGAGTTTATTTGCACCCTCCCAAAGCTGGCCACTCGCATCAGTAAAGTCACAGAACTGTGTTCAACCATCGAGAACACCATACCTGTTCAGGAACGGCCAGATTTGTTGCTAATAATAAACTACCGTAAACTCCCTCAGGCAGCTCGCCTACAGCTTAAGCCCATTCTATTTGCATAGCCTTATACCTAGAAGCTCATTTTACAAAAGCTGGTAAACAGTTAGTAGCCACTGTTCTGACCAGAGATGGCTAAAAAAAAAACTGGGGGAAAAAAGTGAGTTTTGTGTTTCAGATCATACTTGATCCCTTGACTTCCATTTAGAAAGTCAAAAGTGGAAGTTTGTAGAGACACTCCATGTAAGATATGAAGTATTCTGCCAGGTTCACAGACTTACTTGTGAAGAGAACATATTAAGCTTTAATCATGTTTCTACCAACTTCTTAAAGGCCTCATAACTGCATTCTTGTCGATGCTTCTTTCACTCGCATCTCCTGTATAGCGAGGAATTTAGTCTAGGGACTTCAGTCAGCCATTTAAAAGTGAAGATACTATTTTCCGCTGACCTTCAGCAACAATAAAGTGTGCCTGTATTTATTCTAACACACTGCTGGCTTAGCAAATTTGAATGTTTTTGAGAAACCACTGGCTTTTCTTCAAAGGCATATGCACAAGGAGCTATACTGTAAATTTCAAATACACATGCAAGACATATGACATACATTAAATATGGGGACAGTAAGGTCACCTCAATTTAAGAATCAAATTTTCTGAGGTATTGCAGATCTAACTCTGTGCAGAGTATACCATCAATCTGGATCTCCCTTTGATAACTACGTATTTAGCTCATGATGCTTTATCTAAAGACCACGCGTGCTTTAGCTAAATTAAAAGCTAAAAATATTAGCTATTACCGACACATTACTCAAGATTATAGAAATCCAATAGTGACCCTAATCTGTCATCCACTATAACACAAGCCCCATGACTAGCAGCTAGGACCAACTCAATCATGTTTAAAGACAACACATTGTTTTAATATATTTGCTTTTCTGCCATTTTGGAGAAGTTAAAAAAAAATGGGAACACTACAGTTAAAAGAAAAACAGCCACTGAGGGACAACAGCATCAGCAAGTAAGACTTTCTGCAGAATATGAGTTGGTCCCCAGAACAAACATCTTCATTACTACAAAACGGGAAGCAGATGACTGGTAACATCATGCACATTCTCCATTTCTCAGGATGGAAGAGACATCTGGATTTTTACCACAGTATTTTCACAGCACAAGGCCAACAGCATTCATCTGCAAGTAAACTAGGAACACTTTCCCTCTCCCACCCAAAAAGGGAAACTGTTCAAATATAATTTTCCTTATTTAAAAGTGTTGAAAAAGCATTCGGTTTACTTCACAGTAAATCATAGAATGGTTTAGGTTGGACAGGACCTTTAAGGATCATCTAGTCCAACCCCCAAGATCACACTTTCTGTAATCTCATCATTCTCCTACAACATTTTATTGTATGGTAAGTCCCATTACATGGAAGTCCTTCAAAAAGAACCTCTTGTTTTTCACTTTAGTTGCTCCCAAAAAGCCCTCTTCACCACGAAGCTCTTTCTAGAAGATGGCTGAACACTGCTTCATTCACAGCCATTTGCAAACACATCAGCTTATATAGAATTTAAGCAAGGAGACAGAGAAAGCAGCTCTCAAAAGATTCAGGTTACTCTTTTCACCAACACAAGGGACATTCACATTTGTGTCAACAAATCCTTCAACTTCAGGATCTCGTGTTAACATTAAGTTAATGTTACATTCCCAATTGCTCATCTTTAAAGACTATGCCATTTCATTACTATTTTATCAAATTAAAGACAGACTCTACATGAACAAATATGTGGAAGTGCAACTTTGTATTATTACAGGAAGGAAATCAGAATTATCTTTCTGTAGTACCTCAGTAACTCCAAAACAAGTTCAACTTACAGTACTATTTTGAAACAAAAATATCTTCAGTGAGGTTAAAAGTCTAAACAGAACAATACTACATGTTTCAGAATTCTAAGCAATTTGTCAAAGTTACCCAGATAGCAAGTCTTCCAGGCAAGAGGGACTATGGAAAGATGAGTTAGATCCAAATAAGAAAAAAACAAACAAACAAAAAAAACCCCCACCCAGTTTTGTAGCACTAGAATATCCAAGAATGCTTGAAAAGGATAAATTTTTCTAGATTAACATCTAGTTTGAAGAAAAAACGAGTATACAGGTATGACTGGTTTTATTGCACAAAACATGCAAAAGTAATTTGGAACTGAACTTCATAAAGGAAGTCTACAGTATTTCACAATCACTCCACCATTAAAAAATTGTACCATATCATGATAAATAAGGCAAATTTTTAGGAGAAATTAATACCTAAGTTCTGATGTTTTGACTGAAACAGCTTAAATGCTTCTTGAACACATACCACCTTTTTATAAGCACTGAGATGTACTAAAGAATCTAGTAGATAATCATAAAACTCAAACTCCTTCTCAGTAACTACTATTCTTTAGACAAAGCCCCAAAAGTGTTCTTCCCAGACGTGGAGATAACAGCAGAGGACTGCAATACTGATGCATTAATTTTTTTACAAGTTTTGTATCCAGAGTTGCGTGATGTTTACTCACCTGCTGAATAATTTTGGAATCTTTCAAAAGGTTTTCCCTGGGTGGGACTTTTCCAAACAGCTTCCAACCAGGAGCGCTTTGGACAGCAGGTTTGAGTTCCTTTGTCCTTTTAGTGAAAAAGTTTCTGAAAAGAGAGGAGGGTTTTCTTTTTGTTTATTATAAGCATATAAACAAATGGTATTTGTACCCACTTACATTTCTTTAAACCAAGTTCGCCACCGTAGAGATTTACTGCTCAGCAAATGCATAATGTGCTACCTTAGCTTTCTTTTATACTTCAAAACTTGAAGTGGAGCAGCTTTCATTACAGATGCTTTGATGCTAATATTTGTACTTAACACTCAGTTTTACCTCTGAATTCTAAGCTGCTTTATGTAATATCAAAGCTCTTTTAGTAATACCAGACACTTTCTTAAATGTAAGTTAGTAGCATGCAACAGCTCTCAGGATTTTGTTTGGGATTTGGTTTAGTGTGTCTTATGAAGCTATGTGGAGACTGAAAATAGCTGGAAATCACTGTGTAACTGAGCAATATAAAAAAGAAACGGTGAACTATTACTTCTACTACCATTTTCCGCAGTCTTCACACCTTCAACTTTTATAACATGGACTAGGAAACAAGGGAACATGCACACAGCTTTAGTTCAGCAGATAACCTTTGCCAGTGCTAAAGCAATTACACTCAAACAGCCAGATGACTGCACTGCTCTATTACTTCTTAGAAAGCTAACCATAACAAGATCATATTAGCAACCATTTGTCTAGATACACAGCTGTACTATTCAACTCCATCACAAGTTCCCACAGAGGATGCCATGTATGAGTGCTCTAAAAATAAAAGAAGTGCATTTATTCTGAATATTGGAGAGTTACTTTCCAGAAACTTAACAGAGAGGGAATTAGAAGTTCAGTAGTCTGTAAGGTTACTTCTCAGGATGCTTACAAGTTGACCTCTGAGCGAGCAGAATATTGAGTACTTCTATTGGAAGAGGTTTTTGCGCAGTGCTAACTAGCTGATTTTGTACTTTCACACTCTTCCTCTGGAAAGAGATCCCCAGATTTATTAAAGCAAGCATCTGCTGTATTTCAAAACATATTTCCTTCTCAAATTGAATGCAGTCACGTTTGTGCACAGAACACAGCCTCTTAGCTTCGCCCACACAGAAGTAGCACACATCAACGACCCCAACCCGTCTGAAAAGCGCACAGTTAGTCTCACATTCCAGCACTGTCAGGGTTTCTGACCAGGTAGCACAGTTTTACAATTAGGAACTGTTAGTGTTTGTAAGACATTGTATAGCTTTCAAGTACAAACTATCTTTCCAGTGCCCAGAATGTTTTGTTATTTGGGACAAGCTAAGCCTGTCACAAAAGTCCCTTCTGTGCTAGTCTGCGTGAACGGACTCTACAGATACTTGTATCTGTAGCTGAAGGTTTAGCCACCAGAAAACAGCAAGCTGGAGAGTAGAACTAGATGTTCAAGGCCACCGCCACACACTACCATCAACAACAGGTTGCTACAATAAGGAAAGAGACTGCAGTTGAGAAAGCAGCAGCTCCTATAGGTAGGCAGGGAGTATGGGATTACAGACACACCTGAAGAAAGAGTGGGCTTTGACAAAATTTTTTTAATGCCCATGTAGAAGCTGTTGGTGCATCAGTACACCCCACCGCTTCTGTGGAGGTCTCCCAGCTGTTGTCCCAACCCAGTAACTGAGTAAGCACATCTGAGAAGCTTGCACCATACGAATAGTTACCTGCTATTAATGGAATCAAGGTGTTGCTATTAACAGCTTAATTAATACAAGGTCCTCTAGTAAACATTGGTTGTGATCTACATATCCTGCAATGCTGTCCCCATCACGGAAACTTGCAATATCTTAGGCCATCCCTGTGGAAGCAAAGCAAGAACCCAGAACACCAAACTAGCGGTTTCTGACACATGACCTTGGAAGGAAGGGCTGATGAAAGAGCCAAGCCATGGTACCAACATCTTTAAAATACACTGTCCTCAGTCAGCCCCAGGACTGCACACCACTAGTGAAATGAACAGGTCCATCCACAAAAGAAAAAAATATTTTAGAAGTGTGCTCACGTAAATAATAGACTCATTTCACAAGTACAGGACACCTTTCACAGTGCTTTACACTGTCTTCAGGAGGGAAGGAGGAGTGTTCAAAGAACATCAAGAAAACAAGACAAAGTATGCTGAAGACGATCATGTCACTAAATACTGTGCTACAGCCTTGCCCTTATACCTGCAACTACGGCAGCAGCTGTATTTGAACTTAATCAGAGGAGATTTTTTCCCCAGAGACAGGTATGCAGGAAGATCCATTCTAGAGCACTGTTTCTGAAATACAAAATAGCCCATGCATCCTGGCTTCATGGATAGCCACAATCATCCAGTCTCTGCACATACTACAGAACAGCACCAGGATTACCCAGCAGTTCAGCTCCACTGCTTCGTGCACTTGTGGAAGCTGAAAAGATATATGCCTTTGACATTGATGGCAATCTGTCACTCTACCAAAGCTGTTTGATGATTAACTAGCAAGCTAGCATATTTAAAAATGAAAAATGTGTAAACACACAGAAGATTTTAATTAATATTCCTGTACAAAAGATTTAAGCATGCTCATGGCTTTTATGAGATTTGATTTTTAAATTTTTTTTAAACAAAAATGACATTAAAACAAACCTTCCAGAATGTAGTCCCCACCATAATGAATCTCGAAGGGTTTTAATTTTTTTTAATATTTTTGGCATACTAAATTAAGCAAAGGCTTGTTTCACTTTTTATGAATGCACAAGTGAAAAATATATGATTTTACTTTTATTGAGTAGATGTTCATTGAAGTCTGTTTCTTGTGAAGGCAAAAAGCTAGTCAAACTTTCTATCATGTCAGAATAAACTGCACATAGCAATTCCAATCCAAGAGAAATTAATGGGACGTTTACAAATAAGCTTTGCTAAAGACGGAAGGGCAATTTGAATAGATTATTTTGGCAGCTAACAGTATCACATCTGATGCGCTGTTGACAACAGTAAAGCCTTACAAAAGCCCTGTTAAGGAACAGCATCTGTGAAGGCTTACAAGTTGCATTCACTGAATTGCAGGAAGTGTACTAGATTTGATATATTTGTTGCTGCTTAGAATATTCATGAGCTTCAATGATCCCAGGAAAAGTCATCCATTGAGATGGATTGAAAAGTCAACAGCACTTTGGTACAGAATCTCAAAATCCTTTTGAAAACTTCAAAATTCCTTAAATACAAGCCTACACTTTAGAACTGAATAATGCTTTCTGTTGAAAGGACCTGTGGGACACAAGTATTAAATTCGTTCATTGATTTAAGCTCTGGTTTTAAGCCCAGTGGAAGAGCTGTCAGTTTTTTTCCCTGCTAGTTTTATACAACCACTCTGGAACACATATTAACACTCTCAAATGACACTCAAAAATGTTTCAGTAGGTGCACTGAAGAGCTTGAAAATAACTGAAGGGCCACAGAATAAGCAGCCGTTATTGGCACATACCAAGACATCTATTCCTAGCATTGTTTGGATTACACTACACAAAAACCTATGGGCTGTCACAATCGCACAACTACAACAGCTACAGTAACAGCTACAAGTGGCAGTTTTCTTCCTTACTTAACAACATCAACTATTCCCACCTGTGCCCACAGCTCTCTGTGCAAGAGTTTCACCATACTGATGGTTCAGTAATTCAAAGATGTTAGCCATTTCCACAGGTAGCATTAAGGTGATGTTCTAGTAATGCAATTGCTTGTTTCCACTCTGCTTTTGATTTTCCAATCACTTTTTTGTTGCTATTTAAGATAAATTGGTAAAGTCTAAAGGCAGTTGGAATTTAGTCTCAGAGAGGGATAGGTGGAACTTGATATTTAATGGGATTTTTTTGTTTGTTTGTTTACTTTTGGGTTTTAGCTTTCCCTATCACCACCATAAAACCTGAACACAAACCTTTTTTCCACTACCTGAGCTAGCTATATGCCAGCCCAAGAGCATGACAGATTTCCAAATTTTAGATGAAGTTACTGGAAAATACTAGAGACAATTAATTCAAGCTTGATCTTAAATCTCATCCAACACTCGACTAGAACCTGGGCTACCATATTTGCATAATGGCCACTCAAAGAAAACTGAAGGGACAACTCTGCCTCTAGGTATAACTGATTCATGTCTTCACAAGACCAAGTAGTCTTGTGATAGTCTTCCATTTGTCCAAAATCGTCAAACTCAAATCTAGTTTTAAGTTAGATGTCCTTGTGCTACAGTTCTTTCAACAAAAATCACACATACTGGCTTTCCCTTTCTACAACTCCACTGTGTGTCAGTAACAGGCTATGAGCATTTCACTGCTTTGAGCATCCCAACAGAAATCGAAGTTGCTTTCCTCCCCACTCCAAATGCACATCCTTGGGTCTCCAATTTTAACTTTGAGCCTCAAATGAGCCTGCCAGAAGAATCACCTCTGATGATTCAGAGCTCTGATGTTGCTGAGATATAGTACTGCATTACTGGAAGCAATCAACATCATTTACTTCCCATTTTTCCCCAAATCTTCCATCTGAGTCCAGCATTCTTCACAATAACACTTGGAAATAGCGTTCATAAGCCTCCATCTGCCCTTAGTCCTCTAGCTTTAAAACAAGATACAGATCCTGACTCATGTCTCCCTCCGTAGAACTGTAACCTGTAACCTTTAAACCCACACATTCACCACCACTTGTGCAGTGCCAGCCCAAGCATGGAATGCTACGGGACTAAAGCAAGTCTTTCGGCAGCACAACTGCTCTAGCACAGTAGAGAAGCAGGAGCGTGAATAGTGCTACAACCACAAAGGAAAAAGAAAACAGTAGTTTAGAAATCTGTGAAATGCAACTCAGCTGCAAGATGGCAAGCTAAAAATGCAGTTCTGGTGTGCATAGCTTACTCTGTATTGTTAAAGTACTTTCTATGTGATTGCCTAGCAACCCATCCTAACTGTTTAGCCAGTGAGTCTAGTAACGCAGTGATTTTTCAATGGCACAGCAAACTCAAAAGATAGTCAGCCAAAGCAGACAGGTGTCCTAACAGGGATTTGCCAGCTCCGCAT